TACTATACAACCAAACATCCCCGCAAGCAGTAATGATGGCAGAGTGCTCCAACTGGACACTGATAAAAAACAGATACTACACTTGATCTTAGCCAAAACATTTAATGTTTGAGCAGTTATCTATAGCTGACACCAGGTAGAAACACAATGACTTCAGGGGAAAAAAAAAAAAAACTGCAACTCTACCCTCAGTGTTTTCATTGTTGCTTTTATTTTTTTTTTTTTTTTTTTCCCCATATGCCCTACTCCTTTTGTTGCTGCACATTAGGGAGAGTGTTCTGATCCAATTGCAAAGGATCCTGACCACCCTAATTTGCATACTAATTTACATACTCCTTATCTCAAGAAGCATTGGATTATTCAAAAATATGCAAATTTGTCCTATGTTGGGTGGAGGTGCTGGTTAGGACCTCTTCTGATGTAATTAGGTGGGAATGGTGAGAGTGGTGGGGGAGCCTTTTCCTCCCGGGTTGATTCTGGCCTGGTGTAACAGGCTTGGCCCCTACAGGCAAGGCTCTCCCTAATCTGGGTCCTGGATGGAGAGTCCTCGCTGGCACCCAGTGATTGCTGAGGAAATCAGGCAGGGAAGAGAACTGTGTGAAAACAACAGAGTTTTTGCCCCTGTCTGTGCTTCATAAAGAAAAACAGAAAAAAGTGTAGTTAGGGGTGTGCTTTACTCCCATCAAAGGGGGGAGGCTGATCCTACAGGATGCAAGGCACCTGACAGGGACTGAGGTTTCCACATGGTCCAGCCTGGCCAAAAGGCATAGACCCTATTCCCTGTGGCTAGCCAGAGCTCACCACCAAGTACTAAGTCAGGGGGCTCTGCGGAAGAGAGACCACCCCCCAGGCAGGCCCGAGGATCCACATCCTACCATTTCTGAGAAATAAACACACACATAAGTGAAAGTGACTCAAATATGGGAGAAAAAATAAAAAATTGCCCTGGACTTAGCTAAAAGGCCCAATGCAGGAAAAGTGTTTTGGAACAGTGACCATGTGCATGTTTCACATTTGGGATCCCACCCCCATGTGCTACTAAGAGCAACCCTGAGGCGACCACTCAGGGGGCACTGTCCACAGACTCTCTGCCTCCCCGGCCCCTGGCCAGACAAGGTAGATCCATTCAAATCAGGAGGAAGAGGGCCCCTCCGGTTTTCCCAGGGGAACTACTCCCGGGCCCACTACCTGTGAGCACCAGGGTTTCTGGGCCATAAGGACAGGGGTCTATCAGGTCTTTTGACTAGGTGGACCATATGGAAACCTCAGTCCCTGTCAGGAGCCTCGCACCCCGGGGACTCAGGGTAGAGATCCTACTCCTTTGGGGAAGGGGGGTGTGGGGGGGGGTGTGTGTGTGTGTGTGTGGACTAAAGCACACCCGTGCGTGTGCATTTTCTTGTGTGTGCTAAAGCACACCCCTAAGTGCATTTTCTTGTGTTGGTGTTTTGCTCTTGCACTTTTCTTGTTCACTTACGGGTTTTTTGTTTTTTCGCACCTCCGCGGACTAAGAAGGAAAAAAAAATGTTATGGCTTACATTTTTTTTTCATAAGTAGGAGTACTATGTACTCCTTATTTGTGTGTGTGTGGGGGGTATCTGGAGACTCCTTATTTTTAAAGCAGGGTTCCAGTAAGCCCCCTGTCCACAGACCCCCATAACCACCAAGCCTGGGTTGTGGGGAAGAGGCCTTTGTCCTTATCACTATGGGGACAAGGTGCTCCTCCCTGTTGATGGCAGATGGTATGGTCCAGGAAGGGGCTCACATTCATCCCCTCCATTTCCTGGCCAACCTGGCTGCATTTTTTTTTAGTTTGTTGGATGGGGTACCCCCCTTAATAACCAAAGCAGGCTCCTGACAGGGACTGAGGTTTTCACATGGTCCATCTAGTCAAAAGACCTGGCGGATCCCTTTCATTGTGGCTACCCAAAGCTGGCCACCAAGTTCTAGGTCAGGGGGCTCTTCGGGGGGAGAGGGAGAGAGAGGGGGTGAGAAAGCAAATATGCTAATTATATACAATGCTCCCCCCTCCGACATTTCTGTCAGATAGCGCACCACTTCACCAAGATAATTGTTGCAATGACAAATGTTTCGGCATTCTCATGTTTATGTCTTTGGTTTGTATTGGTGACGCAAAAAAGTGGAGAAACAAAAAGCCAAACTGACACAGTCCACACAAAACCCCAAAAATGGACCGGACAGAATTATTAGCACCCTCCATGTAATATTTGGTAGCACACCCCTTGGAAAAAAATCACTGAAATCAATGGCTTCCTGCCACCATCAATGAGTTTCTTCCACCTCTCTGCTGGAATTTTGGATCGCTCTTCTTCCTGCTCTCCAGGTCTCTCAGATTGGAAGGTTCCTTTTCCCAACTGCTGTTCTGAGATCTCTCCACAGGATCTCTATGGGATGGAGATCTGGTCTCATTGCTGGCCAGTTCAGTCCTCTTCAGCGCTTTGTCTGAAACCATTTCTGGGGGCTCTTTGATGTGTGCTTTGTCCTGTCCTGCTTGAAGACCCATGATCTCTGACGGAGACCCAACTTTCTGACACTGGGCCCTACATTGCACCCCAGAATTCTTTGGTAGTCTTCAGATTTCATAATGCCATGCACACGGCCAAGACATTCAGAGCCTGAAGCAGAAAATGCAACCCCAAAACATCAGTGACCCCCCCCCCCCCCCCCCACCATGTGTGACTGGAGGTACTGGATTCTCTTCTGTAAAGTCCTCATTGCTTTTTCTGAAAACCCTAGAATGATGGACTTTACCAAAAAGCTGCCATTTTGTTTCATCTGTCCACAGCACATTCTCCCAAAGGGATTTTGGCTTCCTCAGGTAAGTTTTGGCAATCTCCGATCTGGCTTCCAATATGTTTCTGTGTCAGCGGTGGGGTCCTCCTGGGTCTCTTCCCATATTTCTGTGTCAGCAGTGGGGTCCTCCTGGGTCTCTTCCCATATTTCTGTGTCAGCAGTGGGGTCCTCCTGGGTCTCCTCCCATTATTCTGTGTCAGTGGTGGGGTCCTCCTGGGTCTTCTCCCATCTCTGTCAGGTGGGGTCCTCCTGGGTCTCCTCCCATTATTCTGTGTCAGCAGTGGGGTCCTCCTGGGTCCTCCTCCCATTATTCTGTGGTGGGGTCCTCCTGGGTCTCCACCATAGTGTCCCTTTTCATTCAGATGGCAATGTGTCAGACAAATTTGCATATTTTTTGAATAATAAAACAGGTTTGAGTGGAAGGTGGAAAGGAGTATGCAAATGAGGGTAACCATGATCCTTTGCAATTGGATCAGAACACACTCCCAAATGTGCAACAACAAAAGGAGTATTGGGGGGGAAGTCAGCCAAATTTGCATTTTTTTTTTTTTTAATAATCCCATACTTCTTGAGCCAAAGACATGAGTATGCAAATTAGAGTGACCATGGTACTTTGCAATTGGATCAGAACACTCCCTAATCTGAAACAACAAAAGGAGTTTACATATTTTTGAATAATCCCACACTTAATGAGCCAAGGAAAGGGGTATGTAATTTAGTTTTCAAATTAGGGTGACCATGATCCTTTGGAATTGGATCGGAACACTCTCCCTAATCTGCAACAACAAAAGGAGTGTTACATATAGGGAAAAAAAACAAAAGCTAATGGGCAACTTGGCTAAATTCAGGACCTAGCCAGTGTGCAATTGCATGGCCACTTTTTTATTTTAGCTTACTTATTCAATTTATTTTTTCTCCTCACGTTTGTCACTTTTAACTTACGTGTGTGTTTTTTCTTCTCACGGATGGTAGGGTGTGGGTCCTCGGGCCTACCCTGAAGTCTAGGGGGAGGATGTGTGGCCTTTTGGTTCCTTCCTCCCTTGTCCCTAGGGGGTTTTCTCTTTGGGAGAGCCCCCTTACCAAGTACTTGCTGGCTGGCTTCGGCTGGCCACAAGAAACGGGGTCCGCCAGGCCTTTTGGCTAGGTGGACCACATGGGAACCTTGTCCCTGTCAGGAGCTTCGTGTGCCCCGGGGGGATGGACAAAGCACACCCCTAAGTGCACTTTTTTGTGTTGGTTTTGCACTGGCACGTTTTTTGTACAATTACGGGTTTTTTCGTTTTTTCGCATGTTCGGGACTGTGTGCTTGTGCCTGGTTGTGGCTATAAGGTAACAACTAATTCTCAATCACTTCACGGCCTTCTGGTATTCAAGTGTAGTATCTATTCTTATCAGTGTCCAGTAGGGGCGCTCCGCCATCATTCTTGCTTCTTGGTGAGGATGGTTGGCTGTATACTACGCCTGCTGGTATGATGGCTAGTATTAGCTGGAACAGAAACCGTGGGGCCCTGGAGTAATTCCCCCGGGAGAGCCTGAGTCGAATGGCTCTAACTTGTCTGGCCAAGGGGCGGCAGAGAATCCGTGGAGCAGTGCTCCCTGAGTGGTCACTTCAGGGGTGCTCTTAGTAGCACATGGGGGTGGAATCCCAAGTGTGAAACGTGCACATGGTCACTGATCCAAAACACTTTTTCTGCACTGAGCCTTTTGGGGTTAGGCCTGGAACTGTATTGCCATGTGGTGTATTAAGCGCTGCGTCGCAGTACAGGTGAGATGTACCCCGACTAAAAGTATCTTGTTTTTTTATACTTATGTAAAAAATAAAGTATATTTTTCAACAAAAAAATTAGGGAGAGTGTTCTGATCCAATTGCAAAGGACCAATTGCAAGTCACCCTAGTTTGCATACTCCTTTCATTGGCTCTGTCACGGTCCAACCCACACTCCCACAGCGACTAGCTAACTGAGGTGCGCACGTGCGGCCGTGATTTGGATTAAAGAGGGAATAAGGAGGACTTAATCTGAATATATATAAGTATATAAAACCAGCCGTGATACACTGTGAAAGTCCGCACTACCACTGGCCACCACCGGAGGGAGACTCCGCTCCAATCCAGCTAGTTGACCACACACACAGGCAGACACAAATCTTACATACAATCTTGTGCACTAATTAGAGTTGAGGAGCAGCTTAGCAATCACACACCATTCTAGGATTCCTCCAGTTATCCTCCAAGCCAGAACCCCGGTGTTAATCACTCTTCCACTGTCCACACACCACCACACCAGACACACCACAAACGGCAGCTTTCCACCACCCAACAGTTTTACTGGCCTGCTGGACCACCACACACACACAGATCTGGCTCCGTACGAATCACACCGTCCATATTTCAGGGTCCTCAATTTATGGAAATATGGACGTGGGCTGGACATTAGCCCTTGGCCAATAAACTTTGGGGGGTGTTCCTGTACCAGCCCACAGGACATTCTGGGTACTGAAATGCCCAAATCACCAAGTCAGGGATTAAATTTCCGACACCAGCGCATCAGTCCGATCGTGACAGTACTAATCACTGTTCAGCTGTCGCAATCAGGCGCATATAACCATTTTCTGTATTTCTCTGGATTCTACATAGGCTACAAATACAGTTTTACATGCAGATGTAGCCTACAGTGTGTCCAATCAGAAGGAAGTATTTTCATCTCTCTGCAACTAATATCTTGGCTTTTATGAGAGATGAAATATATTCCTTTGATCTGTGTATATTCTTCAAAGCTCCCAGACACATTGGAACCACCTCTGAACTTGACCGAGCATATAAAGACACTGCAATACAATACAATCTAATCTCTCCGGAGATATGAGCCCGAGCTTAGTACACAGAAGTCACTTATTAATTTTTTGATTCAATATCCCAAAAGTGGGCAGTGCATAAAACATGTACAAAGTATAAAAAGTTACAGAAAATACAAGAAGACACACAATTGGCTATTGACTATAAAATAAGAGGGAATAAAACAGAAATAAAACTTTTACCAATCGTTATCTTGCGACTGGAGCAAGTCAGAGAAAGTCCGCAATCTGGTCAGTCGATAGAACTGGCTCCATACGAATCACACTGTCCATATCTCAGGTCCCTCATTTTATGGGAATATGGATGTGGGCTGGACATTAGCCCTTGGCCAATCGACTCTGGGGGGGTGTTTCTGTGCCAGCCTACAGGACGTTCTGGGTACTGAACTGCCAAAGTCGATTGGACCAGGAACGGTTTGAATCACCAAGTCAGGGATTGAATTTTCGACACCAGCGCATCAGTCTGATCGCGACAGTACCAATCACTGTTCAGCTGTCCCAATCAGGCGCAATATAACCATTTTCTGCATTTTCTGGGTTCTACATAGGCTACAAACACAGTTTTACATGCAGATGTAGCCTACAATGTGTCCAATCAGAAGGAAGTATTTTCATCTCTCTGCAACTAATATTTTAGCTTTTATGAGAGATGAAATATATTCCTTTGATCTGTGTATATTCTTCAAAGCTCCCAGACACATTGGGACCACCTCTGGTCTCCTGCTGTGTCATGAAGCCAAATAATCTAGAGCCCTTTTCCTTCCAGGAGGTGGACAAATCTTATTGGCATCCAGGTGTCACCTCCTTCCAGAGGAAGCTCTGTCCCTTTCAGATGCTACTTGGCGACCATATGTCTTCTGACTGAATCCTGAACACATCTTATATTAACACAAAATGAGTTAAATCTACAGTCATATCTCTACAGGTCACATCCCAGCCACCCAAATCCTACATGTATAACCGCAGCCTGTTATTTTATGTATTTACATTCCCCCCCCCATCGCCTTACGCCTTATGTTGTTGCACATTTGGGAAGTGTGTTCTAATCCAATTGCAAAGGATCAATGTCACCCCAGTTATGAATACTCCTTTCCTTGGCTTAGCCCAGTGCTTCTCAATTATTTTCTGTCATGCCCCCCCTAGGAAGAAGAAAACATTTTGCGCCCCCCCCCCCCCCCGCGCGACTGTAAATAGTATCATTTGTCTATAAAATTGTTATAAGTAGGAATAGTGCCCCATCATTGGTGTCAGTGGGAGGAATAGTGCCCCATCACACTGCAGTGGGAGGAATAGTGCCCCATCATTGGTGTCAGTGAGAGGAATAGTGCCCCATCATTGGTGTCACTGGGAGGAATAGTGCCCCATCATTGGTGTCAGTGGGAGGAATAATGCCTCATCATTAGTATCACTGGGAGGAATAGTGCCCCATCGTTGGTGTCAGTGGGAGGAATAATGCACCATCATTAGTATCAGTGACACCAATGATGCAGCACTATTCCTCCCACTGACACCAATGACACTTGCTGACCCCTGTTGCAGTATGGTGCTGCTGCAGCCAGCATATTGTGGTTGCAGCAGCACCTCTGCACTGCACACTTACCGGCTTTTCCCTCACTCGATTTTCGCGGGTTCTCCGCTCGGCTCCGCCTCCTCACCCGTGAATGGCCGCCTGTGTACCTTTCCTGAGCTACAGCTCTGGCGGCCAATCACCGGTGAGGAGACGGAGCCGAGCAGCAGGAGTGAGGGAGTGGCCGGAGTGATGGAAGGAGCAGCGCTTCCTGGATGGATCATCGTGGGAGCCAGGTAAGAGACTGCAGCCCTCTGCCCCACCCCTGTACGGCCCCCCTTGATGGAGCCTCTCGCACCCCCCACTATTTGAGAAGCACTAGCTTAGCCCTCAAGTAGTGTGGGCTTATTCAAAAATGTGTAAACTCCTTTTGTTGTTGCACTTAGGGAGAGTGTTCTGATCCAATTGCAAAGGACCATGGCCACCCTAATTTGCATACTAATTTACATACTCCTTTCCTTGGGCTCAAGCAAGCATTAGCTTATTTAAAAATATGCAAATTTACCCTATGTTGGGTGGAGGCGCTGGTCATTACCTCTTCTGATGTATTTAGGTGGGAATGGTGAGAGTGGTGGGGAAGCATTTTCCTCCCAGGTTGATTTCTGGCCTGGTGTAACAGGCTTGTCCCCAGTTGTAGGCAAGGCTCTCCCTAATCTGCGTCCCCGACGGAGATTCCTCGCTGGCACCCAGCAATTCATCAAGAATACAGACAGGGATGAGGTCTGTGTGTAAGTAACAAAAGAGCTTGCTCCTGTCTGTATCATATCAAGGAAAACAAAAAACATGCACTTGGGCACTTAGTGCTTTACTCTACTCCTAAAGGAGATCCTGACAGAAACTGAGGTTTCCACAAGGTCCACTTGGTCAAAATTCCTTGTGGTTAGCCAAAGCCGACCACCAAGTACTAGGGATTCCTCCAGTTATCCTCCAAGCCAGAACCCCGGTGTTAATCACACTCTTCCACTGTCCACAGACCCCCACACCAGACACACCACAAACGGTAGCTTTCCACCACCCAACAGTTTTAACTGGCCTGCTGGGACACCATACACACACAGATCTTCGTCTGTCAGACCTGTTACCTTTACAATCTGCATGCAATCTGCCAACACGCAGTGCAATTGCATACAGATAGGCAATGAACTTGACCGAGCATATAAAGACACTAAAATACAATACAATCAAATCTCTCTGAAGATATCAGCCCGAGCTTAAGTACCCAGAAGTCACTTATTAATTTTAAGATTTAATATCCAAAGTGGGCAGTGCATAAAATATGTACAAAGTATAAAAATTTACAGAAAACACACAATTGGCTATTGACTATAAAATAAAAGGGAATAAAACAGAAATAAAACTTTTACCAATAGTTATCCTGCGACTGGAGCAAGTCAGAGAAAGTCCGCGATCCTCCAGTCGATAAAACCGACTCCGTACGAATCACATCACTTCAACCGTCCATATTTCAGGGTCTTCAGTTTATGGAAATATGGACGTGGGCTGGACATTAGCCCTTGGCCAATCAACTTTGGGGGGTGTTCCTGTACCAGCCCGCAGGACATTCTGGGTACTGAAATGCCCAAAGTCGATTGGACCAGGAACGTTTGAATCACACCAAGTCAGGGATTGAATTTCCGACACCAGCACATCAGTCCGATCATGACAGTACTAATCACTGTTCAGCTGTCGCAATCAGGTGTCATATAACCATTTTCTGCATTTCTCTGGGATTCTACATAGGCTACAAATACAGTTTTACATGCAGATGTAGTCTACAGTGTTGTCCAATCAGAAGGAAGTATTTTCATCTCTCTGCAAACTCATATTTTAGCTTTTATGAGAGATGAAATATATTCCTTTGATCTGTGTATATTCTTCAAAGCTCCCAGACACATCGAACCACCACTGGTCTCCCACTGTATCATGAAGCCATACTGCTAGAGCCTTTTCTTCTACATTTCCAGAAGATGACAAATCTTATTGGTATCCAGATGTTATTCTCCAGTCCAGAAATGCTAATTGTTGGCCATGATGCCTAAAACTCAAAGTGTAAACCTCACCATAAGAAAGTTGGCATTCCTGAACTACCACTTCTGGAGCATATATACCACAATTCTCAGTGCAGCCCCATCTCTACTAGGAACTTAGACATGTTAGGGAGAGCCTTGCCTGCAACCAGGGTACAACCACTTCATCATTGTGGTGTAGTCCCTCACAAGGGACTACATATGGTCACCCCAATAGCATACTCCTTTCCTTGGCTTAGCCCTCATGTAGTGTGGTATTATTCAAACATTTGCAAACTCCTTTGCTGTTGCATATTAGGGAGAGTGTTCTGATCCAATTGCAAAGGACCATGGCCACCCTATTTGCATACTAATTTACATACTCCTTCCTTGGCTCAAGAAGTATTGGATTATTCAAAATATGCAAATTTACCCTATGTTGGGTGGAGGCGCAGGTTAGTACCTCTTCTGATGTAATGAGGTGGGAATGGTGAGAGTGGTGGGGTAGCCTTTTCCTCCCGGGTTGATTCTGGCCTAGTTGTAACAGTTTGTCTCTGTAGTAGGCAAGGCTCTCCCTAACCTGTGTCCCGGACGGGGATTCCTCGCTGGCACCCCGTGATCACCAGGGAACATAGACAGGGAAAAGTTTCTTGTGTAAGTAACTAAGAGCTCTTTCTTGTCTGTATCAAATAAAGAAAAACAGAACAAAGTACACTTAGGAGTGAGTTTTATCCCACTCCTAAGGCTCCTGACAGAGACTGAGATTTCCACATAGTCCAGCTGGCCAAAAGGCCTGGTGGACCCAATTCCATGTGGCTAGCCAAAGCTGACTCCTAAGTATGAGATCAGAGTGCTCTTGTGGAAAGACCACCCCCTGGCGGGCCCAAGGACCCGCACCCTACCATCTGTGAGAAAAACACATAAGTGAAAGTGACTCAAATATGGGAGAAAAAATTTAATTAAAAATTTAAAAATTGCCCTGGACTAGCCAAAAAGCCAAGGCCTAAAAGGCGCAGTGCAGGATCAGCGACCATGTGCATGTTTCACACTTGGGATCCTACCCCCCATGTGCTACTAAGAGCAACCCTGAGGTGACCACTCGGAGCACTGTCCATGGACTCTCTGCCTCACCGGCCCCTGGCCAGACAAGGTAGAGCCATTCAAATCAGGAGGAACTGGGCTCCTCCGGTTTTCCCAGGGGAACTGCTCCAAAAGTGTTTGAAGCAGTGGCCATGTGCACTATTCACACACGTGGGGCTCAAACCCCCATGTGCTACTAAGAGCTCCCCTGAGGTGACCACTCAGGGAGCACTACTTCACGGACTCTCTGCCCCTGGCCAGAAAAGGTAGATCCATTCAAATCAGGAGAAACTGGGCCCCAACTACCTGTGGGCACCACGGTTTCTGTTCCAACTGGTCCTATCTTTCAGAGCCCCCATCATACCAGCAGGGCACTGTTCCGCTGACTTTCTGCCTCCCCAGCCCCTGGCCAGACAAGGTAGATCCGTTCAAACCAGGAGGAATTGGGCCCCTCTGTTTTCCAGGGGGAATTACTCCCGGTCCCCAACTGCTTGTGGGCGCCTCGGTTTCTGTTCCAGCCTGTATTAACCATCAGGACCCCCATCATTCCAGCAGGGGGTAATATACAACCAAACATCCCCCGCAAGCAGGAATGATGGCAGAACGCTCCAACTGGACACTGATAAAAACAGGTTTTTTTTTTTTGAAAAGATACTTTTATTACAGAAGTATAAAAAACAACATGATACTTGTAATCGGGGTACATCTCACCCTATACTGCGAGGCAGCACACCACATTGCAATACAGTTCCAAGCATACAATAAATACATTCAGAAATAAATACATTCGCTCAGCGGTATGATGCCTGACGTGATGTGCAGAGAGGATGAATCCCCAGACCAACACGTCATGCATAACGACGCTTACCCCAAAAACCATAGCATCCTAATAACACAAGACGTTTCCTAATGTCACAAAAATCATGAAAAAACGAAAGCCGACTGTTACGCTATACAACAAGCATCGGGTGTGTGTAGGGGGGGGGGGGGGAGGGGGAAAACACAGGCCCAAAGCTTTATTGAAGGGACAAAGACACGCAAGGGGGAGTAGGGGGAAGGGGAAATCTTCAGACGTCCTCTTCCTCCTTAAAGTCCATCAAGGTATAGTCTCTGAGCAGACTGAGGATCAGTCTGCGGCAGTCCTCAATGGACATCCTCTCCCGCTGGTGGATGAGGCGCTTTCTGGCGCACCATAAAGTGTCCTTAAAACAACACAGCACCCGCCAGGCGCCGTCAATGTCCTCCAGAGAAAAAGTTCCACAGAATAGTCCATTCAACACCCCAAAGTGAGTGATGGCTGTCTGTGGTACAAAGTCCTTGAGTTCAGGTTCCCCAACAGGGCCTGAGCAAATGAGCACTCCCAGAAAACGTGGTGAGCCGTTTCCTCGTGGATGATGCAGAAGGGGCAGTGTCTGTATCTGCTCAGGTTCCTGGCATGCATAAATGTCCTGAGAGGCAACCCCCCTTGGATTGCCATCCATGCCAGGTCTTTGTGCCTGTTGGTGAGAATTTTTTTTTTTTTTTTTTTAACGTGCAACTATATCGAAAAAACCCGTAAGTGTCCGCAAAAAAGAGCAAGTGCAAACACACCACACGAAAAACGTGCACTTAGGGGTGTGCTGTTGTCCTACCCCTAAAGGGGCTTGGACCGCTATCCCTGATCCCCGGGGCACGAAGCTCCTGACGGGGACTAGGTTCCCACTTGGTCCTCCTGACCAAAAGGCCGGGTGGACCACCGTTCCCTATGCCAAGCCGAAGCCGGACATTCAGTACTAGGCAAGGGGGCTCTCCCGAAGAAGAGCCCTCTAGGGATCAGGGGAGGAAGGAACCGTATGGCCACACATCCTCCCCCTAGACTTCAGGGTAGGCCCGAGGACCCACACCCTCCATCTGTGAAAACACACACATAAGAAAGCAAAAAGTGACAAACGTGGGAGTGTAATAAATTAAATAAGAAAAGTAAATAAAATAAAAAAATGGTACCGTGCCGAAATGTGCACAGACCAGGCCCTGAGGCCCGTAGCAAAAATTGCCCTGAACTTAGCCAAAAGGCCTGGTCCTTAGGGCGCTGTGCAAAAAGAGGTGAAAAAACAGTGGCCATGTGTCATCTTCTTCACACCGTGGGGTCCCACACCCAAGTGTTACTAGTGACACCCCTGAGAGCGTCTTCCCCAGGGGGCACTGAGTTTGCGGACTTTTTGCGTCCCCAGCCCCAGGCCAGACCAAGGTAGCACGTTCAGATCAGGAGGTACTGGGTCTTTCCGGTCTCCCCAGAGGAATTACTCCCAAGGCCCCAGAACGAATCATGGCGCTCCCTGGTTTCTGTCCCTCCGGTACTAGCCTTCCGGACCCCCATCATACCAGTGAGGGTACTATACAACAACCATCCCCGTAAACTAGAATGGTCGGGAGCACCCCCACTGGACACTGATAAGAACAGATACTACACTTGATCTTAGCCAAAAGGCCGAAAAGGCCACACATCCTCCCCCTAGACTTCAGGGTAGGCCCGAGGACCCACACCCTCCATCCGTGAGAAGAAAAAACACACACATAAGAGTGAAAGTGACTGTTGGTGAGAATGTTGGAAGAAACATTCCTCCAGACCACCTTGCAGGTGTCTGAAGGCAGGCCTGGAACCGACTCCAAAATGTCACTTGCTCTGATCAGCTTGTAGATGGTCTTTGGTTTCCACAAGTCAGGCTTGACTCCCTGCAGCCCCTGCTCCCTGATGAACTTGAAGGTATCCAAGTAGTACCAAGGGGCGTCCCAGTTGTAGGGGATGGAACTATCCCAAGTGTCCCACCCGAGGGACCTCCAGAGAGGTAACAGGAAGAAGCGAGACATTGCGTTCCCGCCAGAGTCCATAATCCTTTTGGGCAAAGTTCTGTGGATGCAGTTGCAGGCAAAGAACACCCTCAGTCGGGTGGCGATGTCGGGCACGCCCTTACCGCCCTTGAGGGGTTCCTTGAACATGACTGCCTGCTTCACTCTGTCCATCTTGGAGCCCCAGATGAAGTGAAACACCGCCCTGGTGATGGCCTTACAGGTGTTGACCCGAGGGGGCCAGGCTCGGGCGAGGTACTGCAACACAGGGAGAATCTTGCTGCGGAGTACCA